AGTACTTAACCCAAGGTGAGTTGCAGAGAGAAGTGAGCTAGGATTTCACAGAAGTACCTCTGAAACTCTGTCTTATAATTTTCAGGGGACATACAGAAAGACTATTCATTTTTGAGAATTTATCCATTAATCTGAATTTTAGAACCAACAACTTGACAATCTTATAAAATTGCCTTAAAATCCACAACTAAAAATGTTTGTAACCTTAAAATGCATAAAAAATTCGGTGAGATCTTTTTTCTGTTTTATTTCTTAGTGAGCTAGATTTTTACTTTCCTTATTTGGACAGCAGTGTGTTATTTCCAGAGAATGAATCACTGGGTTTCAAGGGATTTAGGCTTGTCTAGCTGACTCAATGACTATGGTTTCATTGGGCCTATCTTCAAACTGCATCAGGTCTTGGAGCAGTGAAGCACAAAGCAGAAATACATAGCAGAGTTCCTTCTTTTCTTTCATTCAGGTGGAAAGAAGAAGGTGAAAGGGAAACATTCAGGAACTTCAGAACACTTAGAAAAACATAAGGTGTCTTGATGTTTTTTATTTCCATTTTCAGAAGTGTCATCCTTCTCCTGAACTCAAAGACAATGCCCAGTGCCATTACAGTAGAGTCTGAATACATTCCTTTGCAAAAAGATATTCAGGTGAATATTTAGCAACAATAGAAACTTCTAACTGAACACAGCAGATTGAATTCCTGAGTTTATCAAATTGTTGTTTTCTGAAGTTTGTAATTAATCTTCTACTGAAACAAGAGCACAATGATAGTAAAGGTATAAAAGAGGTATAATTCTCTCCTGATATATATATATATAGTATACACACACACACACATAGATACACAAACACACACAAAGAGGACTTCAATAACAGTGAGAGAAAGGGAGATGAAAAATATATATGTGGGTGATATCTGGCTTAATGCATAGGAGAAAACTGAAGTCTCAGGTTCTACAGAAGAGAGTGCAGCTGCGAAGCAAGTATATTCACTTTAAACCTAAATATCCTGCCCCATGAATATTATGACCAGATGTAGGAAAGCACTGGTTCGGGACCTCGTTCACAGAAGGTACTTAATTAATAACCACTTGTTGACTGGCTGACTGCTGAACTCCTGAACTCACTGACCAGAAGACTGGATGATTCTAAGTGTGAAGGTGAAGCCTGACTCGGGCATTGCAGGCTCCTATGTTACCTTTCACAATTCTACAGTCTTGGAGCAGTATGGGAAACGCACACAGCAAGTGGTCGTAAAGACCTCCCTAACTGACTTAATTAGCAATTAAATCAAAGTATACAATCAGAGAAAAAAGTATAGTGGGATGAAAGACCAAATTCTTATCTCTACCTTATAGATAACCAACCTGTACTTTGTGTATGCCACTTGAAGTGTGATTTAGAAAAGACAATACATCCCTGAATAGGATGTCTGAAATTTCATCATTGTAATCCTGTTCCTTTTATTAAACTCTGAATCTGGTGTTAAAATTTAAATTACATTTAGATCATTTGTCATTCAGTGTGAATAAGTTTCAGGTCCTTTTCCAAGAAAAAATATAAGATAGAGTGCAAAGCTTGGTGAAAATTGGGAGAAATGAGCATGCAAACAAGAGTTGAGAGAGTCAGAGACCAGCTTCATTTCTGTAGCTCTATGGGAGTAGATCCACGGACCTCAGTGATATATCCAGCTTCCTGCACAAGCTTGATCCAAAGCAGCAGTGAATTTTTATTTTGAAAATAAATTTGTAGAAAAACTGTTGAGCAGAGACAGGGTGACAGGCAGGTGGACCAGGATTTGTGTGGCTTCCAAATACTTATTGAACATGTTGCTGAAACTCCCAGGTTGTATATTAACCAGCTGTGGATTACCGCTGGGGATTAATTTAGATTTATGTAGAATCTAAGCTTCCATATCAGTCTCGAGGTGCTAAAGAAATGGATTGTTAGGCAAAGCTTTCGAATCCAGCCCAGGGACTTGGACTTAAAACATTTCAGAGGGGATCAGAGGTTCTGGGGTGATCAGGTCTAAATTCCTAATCCCTGTATACACATTTGATCATTTATTTGGCACCATGATTCATATCATCACAGGCATGCTGTGTGAAATGTCCTCTCGACCTCCTTCACAGACCTCCCAGTAAGTCAATTGAGATTTTCCTATTGGAAGTCATCTGAATATTGCAGGTCAGTGTTTGTATATACAAAGGCTGCTAAATCCTGGATATCATAGGAGCACATATTGTGATGTGCTCTCATTTTCATTATCAAAATTTAAAACCATATTTAGTTTATTGATACCAAAGTGCTTATGTGAAAAAAATAAAATTTCGTAAAAGCTGTTGTCTCTAATTTCTAGCACAGTGTATGAGCTATGTCAAGAGATCAATTCACTGTGAGGAATTTCCTCCTAGCCAGAGTGCAGTGAATTATCTAAAAGTCCAGACATCCGAAGTGGCCAGTAGCCTCTTCTTTTAGTCCTTTACAAAATATTCATAGATGTAACCCCAATTTTCTTTTTCATTGTCAGAAAATCTCAGTTATAGCAAAACATAAAAACCTTGGTGAGGCTAACATACTGGAAAAGACATAAACTTGAGGACTTAGGAAATAGAGAAAGAGAGGAATGCACCAAATGTGGAGTCCTAATTGTTGATCAGGAGCTCTAAGGAAAATGTTTGGAAAGATTCAGCTATTGCTGAATGTTACAGTTGGTTGAAGTGAAGTTCCTGCTTTGGTTCTTAACTTTTGTACTTAAATCCACAGTCCTTAACTTCTCCTTTTATACTACAGAATTTCTTCTTTTGGATTACATCTTATGTTGTATCACATACTGCCTCATATTGCTAATTTGTTTCTATGAGCATTTCTTGTGTTTTTAATTATATTAATTTATTCTATATATCCTCACCTAATTTCCTCCATTCAGGGGACTATTTTAGCACATCACAAGCAGTAAAGGAATGTTTGTTGATTGATTAGCATCATTGATTGACACCCACAAGATTGCACAGTGATGACTGTTCTATCTGAACTTAGCAGAATTACTGTGGAATTCACTGCCAAATCAAACTACTGTTTAGGAATTTTTACATTTTATTTCTGAAGTGACTGATTGTATATTATATGTGAAGGAAATTGACATCCATGCAAATGAAAACAGTACCGATGACTTCCATTCTGATTGTCATGTATGCCCCACTCTTACCTCAGTTTGGTTGTTTTGTGATGGAGAGCTATCTTTATGTCATCATATTATTTATTGTAGGGCTGCACTTGACTAAGTTAACAGATCTAGATCCCAGTTCCACTGCCTCTACTGTCTTACTGTTTCATTGAGCAAATCCCTCCCGCTTATTCTGAACTCACTTTCACTTTCCATATATTTGGCAGAGAAGAGCATTTTTAAATAGCTTTTGCATAGGATTATGTTATGTGGATAAAATGAGATAAGGATTTTGAGATTTTGAAAGAATTTGGAAATGTTAGAATGATCCTCACTTCATGTCCCAAATTAATATAATCATTGTGTAATATTTTTTAAGGAATTGTCAATCAGAACTGTTCTTTTATCCTTTAGAAAGCAAAATAACTACAACTCTGGTTCATAAAAGTAAGTATAGACTGCTCATTTGTAACAGTTATTAGTACTGGTAGTTGTTTTTAGATAATTCTTTTTTTTTTTATCCATTAAGACAATTTGAGAAGAAATGAGTTGTTTTTCTTTTCTGTAGCATAGAGATAATCATCATTGCTTATGTAATGTTCTTGTATTTTCACACATCCTTTGTTCTCCTTGCACTTATTGGTTCCTTTCCCCCAACCCATCTCCTATACAGCATAATTGTAGCTCTTAATATTAATTTGACTTAGGAAGATTCCTTGTTTTAGAGAAAAAGATAATGGTTTTGGCCCCACGAACACTTTGATTATGTTGTTCTCCATATTCACTTGTTGAAATTCTGCACATCTTAAATAGCATGTTGTCCATGAAGCCTTTGTGTTCTTCCCACTGCAAACATTTTTCCTTTTCCGGACTTCTGCAGCTTTTGTATCTACCTTTCTTATGGCATTAGCCTATTTTGTTCCATAGTACTTTTATATTAACCATTTTTTGTTTGCTTATTGAGGGTTTTTTAAACTTCTTTTATTTTCTGTTTCTCTCCCTATTGACAAAACCATGAGCTTCTTGGATCATGTTCTACGTATTAAATTCACAAGAGTGACTAGGAGGTTTTTCTTAGGCAATAAGAAGTAGTCCATAAAGAGTTGTGGAAATAAATTGGATTGTTGGGCCACATTTTTAGAAATGGGTATCAAACCAAACTTTTCATGGAACTGGACAAGTTTAAAGAATAAACCTCCTCCAGTGTTGATGTTCTGAAAAAGAGTCTTGAAGTGTGACTAGAAGAGGGGAATTGAGCTGTTTGACCCAATCAATGCTAGTGAGTTTGGCTAATATGTATGCCTAGAAATCAGTAGGCAGATATCACAGACACTTGGAGTCATGAAATGTTCTACAAAGTTAAATATTTGATTGCTATGTTTGATACTCGGGACACACGTTTAAAGCTTATCAAGACTTTACCAAACATAAAAGAAGCACTCTAGAATTTAGTCAGGTTTTAAAAACAGGGTAAATCCTGCATATTTGAAATAAAACCTATATTATGCAGTTTCCTTACTTAGCCTTTCGTTTAGGACAAAAAATCAAATTTGAACAAGTATTTTCAAGGAATGCTGTTTAGAAAGAAATCAAACTTGAACAAACATTTTCAAGTAGTACCACAAATGCTTTTGTTTTTTATCATCATAACACAAAGGGATTTTTCCTGAGTTGCAACATTCCCCGGTATTTGGAATCCTCTGAAGGCCACAGCTATACAAAGGAATAAGGTTTGTTAACGTGAGCACAGTCACAGACAGGCTTCCTGAGCCTTTAAAATTTCTGTCCGTTATTTACATTTGCCCTTGCCTATTTGACTCACGTTACATTTTCTTCCTAGATTATTAAAACGAGAAGAAAGTTTCACATTCATTCCTCGGTCCCGTGAAGAGCTTCCAGATAACTTTCCAAAGGAAATCCCTGGGATCTGCTATTTCCTCGAGGTAAGGACTGGGCCAAAGCCGCCAAAGCCTTCTCTTTCTTCATCAAGAATAAAGAAAGTTTCCTACAACATCGGCACCATGTTCCTCCGGGAGACAAGCCTCTGAGACCTGCTACAGATCAAAGACTCCTCCAAAAAGCACAAGCCCAGAAGATGGGTCAGGACAAGAGAGTGGAAAGAGATCATTTCTCTTTCAGTGAGTGCTTTGTTGAAAACAAGCGGCGGCGGAATTTCTGTGTTATGTCAGGCAATAATCATAGAAAATGTGGGTGACTGCTGTCAATAAAAAAAAGCTGGAGCATGAGGGGAAATAAGATGTGTCCATTCATGAGAGTGTTTTTGGTCATATATATCTATATATATATTTTAATTACAAGTATGGGTCCCCTTTCAAAACTAACCAAGAAATAGATTCTGTTTTCTTGTTTGTCACACATACAAGTATCTTTCCATATATATTTGTACCACTTTTGAGAGCCAGTTTTGATTATATATTCCTACATCTAGTGAGTTGGTAGGTGAGGAAGATTTTCTAATTTTCATTTTCTGAGCAGACATTTCATACATATATCATGGCAGTGTGGTAAACTTCCCAACCGGAAGAATTGTAACTCAGCAAAATATTTTAGGGATATTACCTATTTTTATACATATCTCTTCTAGATAATTACATTTCACACAACATTATTAGATTTTCCGAATCTCCTACTATATTGTTGATATATTATATAATGCTAACCTGTTAATCTAATACAGTTTCACTTATTTAGGGATATTAGTGCTTGGACTGAGAATATATATAATCAAGGATTTCAGATGCTGAGAAAGCATTATATGTCTGTTTAGTAAATATCATTTAGATTTAATTAATGTAGCATGGAATCCAAAGGAAATAGAATTTCCTAATAGCAGATATACCTGTAACCAAGATTAAGGAGATGTTTCTTTTGCCATCTTCTAACAAACATCAGTTAAAATGATATGCTTTGCTACATTGGACCCTTTTTCAACTTAGAACTTATAAATATATGTAGTTTTTACAACATTAACCTGCATTCTAATAAGCAGCATTGTACCAAATGACATGTTGGTAGCTCCCCTACCACTTCCCCAATTCATGCCTCCTAAAGGCTGACTTACCACTTGGAGAGCAAATTCCCGGATACTGGTGTTAGTGACAAATAGGTCTCGGGACATGTTGCCAAGAATGTTGTTTTTTTCTTGTGTAACACAAAAGCAAGGAAAACCCTGTATTTTGTGGCACTGAGATTTTTGCTTAAAAATGTTCTGCAGTTTGATTGATGTGGCTTTTAAATTCAGTGAATCATCTTCCTGAATACTGAACTAGGTTTAACGTTCAGAACTCGTAATCACTGTAGCTACGGATAGATTTCCATCGCATGCCCTGCTAAAATGAAGACCTGTTCCCATTAATCAATACTGCATGAAAATATTATTATTGGCTCATGCTAAAATTAGGAGCACAGTGTGTCCAGAGTTCTCTTATTCCAGATCAGCTATAAAACCTAAGTTTCTATTGAGGTTAATGAGCTGGAAGCATTTGTTTCCTTGAAACCTTGGAGTGGCCATTTTCTTACTCATTGCTAGCTCATGTCTACTGAATGCAATATATTTCTTTTCTGTTCAGGGATTATGGCTGTATTATGATTTGGTTATGACATAACTCAGCTAAGAAGTCTATTAACTAATTTCCAATGTCGTCTGTGAGGCTTAATTCATGTTTTTGTGTTCTCGAAGTGTGTGGCTAGAAAACATTTAAAATATGCAAATATTTGTTATAATCATGACCCCTTTTATAATTTGCTCCTGTTCTCACTCTGGGGTTTATGAGGATACTAGTGTAACAGTTTTTATGTGGAGAAAAGAGAACATAGACCCTGAGCTCTCTAAACCCCTGCCCGACCCCTCTTCCCTGGGCCTATGTCTCTGTTTTTAACTACATGGGGGAGAGAAGGCCAAGATTTATAGGAGGCTACATGTAGGCTGAGGACAGGGTATTCTCATGGGAGTAATAACTCACAAAGAAATCTCTTCAGGGTGCTGGTTGATTAACCCACTTCCTCCACAAGGGTCAGTGGGGAGGTTTACAGCTAGTGTGGAAAGCACAGGCTGGGAGCAACTCAGTCCTCATGGTGATATTAGAAAATGCCTTAGCAATGTTGATGGGCTTCTAATAGCATGGGACATGGTGAGAGAACCAAGCTTGCTGAAGTCATTTCTGCTTATTCTGTGCAGTAATGTAGAGCTCATTAGGATATATTAAATCAACAAACACTTTGGTGGTAAACAATGTGTTCTATAACATAAACAGAGGGACTTCTAGAAATCATGCAATCTATTTCTCTGTCTTTTGTAAAGATTTGTCTAAGCAACTGTTTTAAACACATGGTTATTCTCTCTGTACTTAAGAATATCTATGGGAAACAGATTTTAAAAGCATCATTGGAAATCCACTCCTTTATTTGGTAAATTGGTGATAGGGCTTGAGGGAAGGATTGTATATATATGTGTATATATATATATATATATATATATATATATATATATATATATACATTCAGTTTGTCAGAAGAATCACAAAAATCTGTGCTAGTTTATACAACTTTACTAAGAGAAGTAGCCATTTACATTGTCACAAATGTCACACTGAATAACATGACAGAGATCTCTTAAATATCACCAACAGGAAGTAAGCTCTATTTTTCATACAGTATAACCTAAATGTATTTTTGAAGCTATTGTCTGAGGCAGTGGTCTATTCTATTATCATTTTGCCAACCTATTACAGTTGATTATTATAGTTACACTGTTGCTGAATGTGTTTGTAAGGTACTATATAAAATGTCTGTTCATTCTAGCTGCAGTCACAGAAGTTAGAAGCTGTGAAGAAGCATTATATTTTTATTTGTCCTGCACAATGCAGTCCACATATTCTCTCTTAAGAACTGGGACTGTAACAATTTGGTGGCATTTGGCATTTCATTTGACTAATATCTATACAGTATTCTCACTTACTTACAAAGTATTGCATACAGCGTGCATTGTAGTATGGCAGTTAAAAGGAATTTAAATGATGTTCCCTTAGAAACCAAGTAGTTGGGGAAATGGCTTTAACCCACTCTAAAAGGAATACTTTGAAGTATAATTTGGCACCTACAGTTCCTGTATTTTAATGTTTTCTCAAGCAACTAATTTGAAGAAGGCACTTTATGACTGTCCATCAGTACCAAAGGTTCACATTAGCATCAGGATCATTTGGAGGAAAGGAATGCCATCACCTGCAAATAAATCAGTTATCTAGCAAAATCAGAATCCCCCAATATTTACTCAAAATGTACTGCACAGTATCTGCTTTGCGAACCTTAATAATTAGGTAACATTGGCCATGACAAAAAAAAATAATAAGAAAAAAAGAAACATATTTAGTTGAATCTCTTGGCTGTGTAATGTAGGGAAAGGGAAGAAGACATAGCTTCTAGGTGACATGGAACCCAACTGTCTAAAACTGCCTCTGTATTAATCTCTTATATTTCAAATTATTTGGGGTTTCCTTTTTAATGCCCGATTGTGTGTGGAATGTGAGCTGTGACATATTGTGACTTTGAGACAGACATCCGTGCCTGAGACTTGAGAGCGGGTCTGTGCATTCAGCACTTCAAATGCTAACTCAGTCTCACGCTTCTTCCTCTTGTCCAGTGACGATGGTACCAAGATGTAGCGGTTCATTGTGAAAGTGTGAGAGTGTGTGCCCTTCCAAGAAAAACAGAGCAAAACGGGACCATAACAACTTAAACAAAATCTCATTCTCAAGGGCGGCAAGGCTTTTAAATCTGCAAACTCCTCCAAAGAGTTCCAGCAATAACACAAAATTAAATTGATGACTACAAAAGGCAAAGCCATGGAGAATTTGAAAACCCCCCAGACTCTGTGCTTTGTACAGAATCACATCGCTGCTGAATGAAATAGGGTGTCTTAAGTTGTGATGTATCAAGAGGGAGCTCAAGATTATGACTATCATTACATTTATTTGTTGAAGAAGGCTCCTTGGGTTCCCGATTTGCCGAGGGCAGGTGTTGTGGATGATTAGGACAGAGAGTAAAACTTCCACATACAGGTTTCTGTCTTGCCATGCATTTTGAGCACGACTTAGCCCACCCTAGACCCTCTGTTCCTCCATGCTATCACTAGAAACCCCTGAACCCTGGCCCCATCAAGCATCATTCTCTCTTCTGAGCCCGGCATAGCCATGGAAAGGATTGCTGATGCCTGATTCAGGGAGATAGGAATGCCCACGCCGGGCCAGGCCCGAGTAACAGTGCACTTCTGAAGTGAACCAACCATTGTGAGATGTGCTGGGGCATTGATTACATCTGCAGCTTCTACCTCTGCTCTTTCTTCAACATACAATCTAAGTCCAAGTGCTTCATGCAACTCTACTGAATGTACTTTGGAATTAATCATACATGACTCTGGATAGACTTTGGGTGGCACCAGCTGCCTTTCAGCCAACAATACCTAGAAACTCAAGTCCAAGAACCAAGCCCCATATCAAAGCTTAGTTGTTTTCATTATTAGGTTATAATTACAGACCTTCAACTACAAAAATTATGTCATTTCAGAGGCTTCTATAAGCATGGCTTATTAGATATAGCCCAAAATCATGATACATGAGAGACTGAATTATTAAATTTTTAGCATATTCTAGGCTGAAAAATGGTTTTGTGGGCAGCTCTTGATATGAATATACCTAAATCACAACCAGCTGGTTTAATATACACATAAATTGTGTTCACATGATTGAACAAAATTTATTGTTAAACAGGTAAATTGACACCAGCTGTGGACTCAATTTCAGGATCTTCATGGTAGCAAATGAAGAGCAGATACTGATTTTATATGCAGATTTGCATAATCTTACCAGTTTATATATTGAGATAGTGTGCAAAATTCCTTCCTCACACTTGAGTCAAACAATTGAAACTGAAGTATTACTGTTCTTCCACCTTTCTGTTTCCTTCCTTCCTTTGTTCCTTTTTTCTTTTCTTCTTTCCTTTCATTGAAAAAAAAAAAAGTCATTGATACATTTATAACATGGCAAGAATCACTGCTAATCTCATATTAATAGTTTTATAAAGTGATGAATATTCTTAGTTTTTTTGTGTGTGTGCGTGTATGTGCTTATTGAATGTAGATGTTACATGGTTAAAAGGAATAACCTTTTTGGAAGGACTTGGGAATGTAGAGAAGTAAAGTTTGTCTCTTTATTTATAATGTGTTGTAACCAGATCACAGCTTCAGTTAAGCACCTCATTACCACCTCATCCTTATTAAGAAATGACCTAGTTCAATGGTTCAACTCATCTGCTTGTAAGTAACTGGCTGGCTTCCTAAGAATTACCTAGGGAGTTTTATGAATACAAATCGCTAGGTTATACCTTCAGAGACTTGGATTCAGTAGGTAGGGCCTAGGAATCTGTATTCAGGAAATCACTCTGAGTAATGTTAATATGTAGCCAGACTTGGGAATTAATTGAAGAGTATTCAGATAATCCCAATTACGAGGAGTAAATACAAGTTGAATGAGGTAATAATAGATTATTTCACATGTAGTTATTCTGAAAAGTTAAATACTCTGGGCTTCATATCATTATTTCTTTCACAGGTTTTATAATTTTAGCTTTAGTTTCCAATTTGTAGTCTGCTTTTTGAATACAGGTCTTCAAACTTATTAGAGACAGATGTCAACACTGATAAAGCATGAGGGATGAATATTGCTCACTATAGGGCTATTAGGCGTACTAGATATGGTACCATTTCCTTAGTTACTGCCAAAGCTGTGCAGTATATCATAACATTTGCTGATCCTCACAACTGAGGTATAAACTACGAACTCTAGGATACAGAAGCAGATGTCAAAGCGACAGCCTTACTTCTGAATGCTTTGATTTGTGTTCTGAAAAGACACCAATTTAATACTTAGTCTCACTATGGACTTCTCACATTGAATCGTACATTCATCTAAAAGTAATTTCCTAGCAATACCTTATAACAAACTTTCAAGCAATAATTTAAGCCATAGTGATGATGCCATATGAAACTCACACTTCTGAGCATTTCATAGAACCTTTGGGGAAATAGAGACATGCTTTATACAAGCAATAATATAGCTGGTGTGGACTTTTTAAAGATATTCACTAGTCTGTAGCAAAATGAGTAGCAAGCGATGACTCAGATAAAAAAAATATCTGAGCAAATGATATGCTTAATCTATCTCAGAAGTTATTCATTTGCAAACAATAAAAAATATCTAAGCACATGACATGCTTATTAATCTATCTCAGAAGTCATTCATCTGCAAACATAATTAGTATACTCCTATCAGATTATTTCTCATGTACAGTTTTTAAAATACCTATCATAATTTGATTTCTATTCTTTTTAAAGAGATTTGTGTGTTATTTGTAATGTTGCCTAAATCTTTGGATCTTAGTATATAATAGCAAGGAGGTGGTTAAGGATGGATAAATCAGTAAAAGTAGAGCATGGGTTGGAGGAGGTGATTGAGAAAGTAGGTTTTGCAAAAATATAGATGGGTCTTGGTCCAAATTAACTAATACAAATGTTGGTTTGATAAGGTCTTGGAAGATAAAAGAGTAAAGATAAAAAGAGCTCATTACCACTATTTTCTATGACAGCTATACAAATGTGTAGTAAGTATAATAGTACCTCAGAATATGATTCAAGTCATCTGTAGAAAAATTAACAAGTGTCTGGAAATGATTAAGTAGATTTCAAAATGAATAACTCAAAATTTTAGTCCCCTTAAAATATAATTTTAATCAAATGTGGCATAGTTAATAATCATCAGTTATATTTACTCTTCTATCATTGAGAATAATGTATTAGGATTACAGTTAAAAGTAACTGCTAAATTTATGGTATAGTGAACACTGTCTAAACATAAGATTATTATTTAGCTTATAAATTTAGGATCCATTCCTAAGCATCTAACTAGGATTACAGCTCCTGTGGATGCCTAGTGAGCTAAACTCTCCTCTAATCATGAATCTGAACATATGAGAATGGTGGGTGGGTTTGCTAGTATTTTATCTCTACCTTTGTGTTACTCATAACAAAACTTAACTTGGCATTCTCCTGCCCACAATTTGGAAAATTCCTGTCTCCAAATCAAGCAGGATTGTTAATTCACTGAGAAGGTTTTGACAAGTACACAGTTATATATCACTGGATCCTTAAGCCCTTAATAAGAATGTTTTTGAGTGTCAGTAAATAATAGAAAATGTTGAATTTAAATCTATTAAATTACACTGCATTTATCCTCCCAGTCAATCCATCTAATTGCTGACCTGACCATTCTCAGCGTTAGACTTCAGTACTCTTGCTTATTATTTGAAAGCAGAAAAGAGAGGAAAAACTAAACGGCAAGCCTGAGCAATAGCTTGTTTTTGAGTCTTTTCATACATATTTTTTAAATGAAGGAATCAGTTTATATTCAGTTTTCTACTGTGGACTTTTCACTATTTGGAGATAAAGAAGTTATTTCACTTAATGTATTTTTACTGTGGCCTGTTAAATGTCATTCAGTCGAAGTTGAACAGAAAAGTAATAATTGGGGTATCATCAGAAATGTGCAAAATTGTTTCTTCGTATCACCTCACTTTCTAATTTCTTGCATTTTGCTGCCTGGCAGTTACACATCAGACTCAGGACAAGGGGACAGATGGAAGGAGTAGGGTGGGTAGGAGCTTTGGATGAGATTCAGAAAAGAGATGTAATTTTTTCTTCAGGAAGGTATGGAGAGTCTTAAAGGAGAGGCAGTTGCCATAATAGACACCTCTGGTTTAATGAAAGCCAAGCAATTTATTTGACTACCGGTCACTCATTTTTAAAAAACAAGGAAGAAAAAAAAATTAGAAACCTTCACAAGCCATTTTTAGTTTTCTTAGGAGATAGTGCCAGCCTCTTAGCAGCTGCACATCTCAGTGAAGCTGAGATAGAAGCTCTCAGAGCTATAAATAGAAACTCTTTGAAGGTGGCAGATAGAACTAGTTTTGGTTACAGTGATGAAGGTAAATGAAAGTGTCAGAACATCTGGGTTGAAGGAACAAAGAAAGCCAAAATACCAGCTCTGCCATATACCATAGAAAAGCCTGCTAAAATTAGTACAGAAAAACAGACTATCAATGTGCAAGTGATATTAAAACAAAAAATTTTTTTTCATTTATAACATGCCTGGCTGAGCTAGCATTCAGTGAGAAGAATATAGTTTTGTTTTATGTATCCTTTTTTAATTGTTGTTTCTCTGATTTTATAGAAATTACATCTTTCCTTCTTTGTGACATTTAATTACAAAGGATAGGAAATATTTATTTTGTATCCTGAAATTTGTAAAAACATTTTGGGGGCTATACTATATTCTACATTCTTCTTCACACTCTTCTCATATTGGGCTTTGGCTGCTAGCAAAGCAGGTGTTCAATTTAGAGTAGAAAGATGCCTGTCCATTTCTCAAAAGATGTGCTGGAACGTTTGAGCTGGGGAGAGAATCACCCCGTAGCATTTGATGGCATTCTGTGGAAGAGATGAAGATTTATTCTCAGTCTTCTAAAATTAAAAGTAGTTAGGTAATCTCTTATCATCATTCAAAGATTTTTTTCACTTACGTATAGCTGGTTAATTCATACAGGGTTTGTTTAGAACAGAAACATTAAAAGAAAGAGACAAACTTGAACAATATTTAATCAAATTATCGATTAGAAAAATAATTTAGAACAAAAATGTATCATCCTGAGATAGTCAATTTACTTAGATCCAAAACTTAAAATGTTGGAGGCTGTTAAAAGTTTTCTAAATGTATCAAGTTCTTCAGCAATGAGAAAGAAAATTAATTTTGTTTCTGGATTCCTCAGGAAAAATGCTCTGGTAATGACACCTAATTAGAAATTACATTTAAATGATTTTTCTCCATATTTTCTGTTTGTTACAGAAAAAAAAAGATGTCATTGAGCCATGGTTTGCAATTTGGCAGTATTCTTTTACTTAAAAAATTTAGGCTCTTTTTAATAATGTCAGGTTTAAGGATAACAGTCAAATAATACTGTATTCAAGTTTGTCCACATTGGGACAAACTAATTAGAGCAAAGCATCTCACACTTCTCAGAATAAAATCTAAGTCAAAACCAATCTATGTTCAAATAATTTGAACAACATATAAATATTTCTGCATCACCTCTGACTAACAAGAACTTATGCATGTCCATACCTAATCAAGCCTCAATTCCTAGAGCAATTCTACTTTTATGGCCTCCCAGGAAGCATTCCTTTATGGTCAATATCACAAACTTTCAAGGCTAGTAAATGCATGCAACTATCTTCTGAGACGGGCGTGACCTGGATCTGCATGTTTGTGTATAACCATTTGAAGGGCCTCCCTTGTTTTAGCCTTTTAACTTTAAATCTCGATAAAAATGAAGCAAAATATTGAAGCAGCCAGTTGATTAATTAACAACATGAAACCCTGCCTTTAAATGTTATTGATATAAATGACCACGTTGCAACCATGGCCTTTCACTTAAATTGTTTTAGAATTCTTTAACTAGAAAGTATTCTCAAGAAGAACGAATTATCTCTGATGTAGATCCAAGTCTGGCCAAGAAAGTCTGGATAAACTAGAAAACAGTATAATTATCTAAAGTAATTCAAGGCAAGTTTTAGAAAACAAAATTTTTGTTTGTTTGTTTTGGAGACAGGATCTTGCTCTGTCACCTAAGCTAGAATGTAGTGCCACCATCATAGCTCACTGCAGCCTCAAACACCTGGGCTCCAGCCATCTTCCTGCCTCAGCTTGCCAAGTAGCTAGAATTACCAGTATCCACTCCAATGCCTGGCTAATTTTTCTTTTTTGTTTTTTTGTTTTGTTTTGTTTTTTTTTTGGTTTTTTGTTTGTTTGTTTTGGTAGAGACAGGGTCTTGCTATTTTGCTCAGGCTAGTCTTGAACTCCTGGCTTCAAGTGATCCTTCCACCTCAGTCTCCCAATATGTTAGTATTACAGGCATGAGCCACTTTAATTTTTGCTCTTGTATAAAAATATTGGAAGGCAGCCGAAGTTGTTATTCTTATTTTTTTTTATTTTTTTTTTCTTTTTTTTCCCCAACCCTTTTAAATTCCTTCCTTTTCTTTTTTTTTTTACTTCGTTGCCTTGGACCGTTGGTTGTTCTTTGTTTTTTTTTTTGTTTTTTAAAACCCTTTTTATTTTTTTTAAAAAAATTTCTCCTGCTAAAAAACGCAAATGATTACCTGACTGTAAAGAGGTGTCTTATTTTATGATCGTATATTAAACATTTAGTTGAATTCAGCTAGAATGTGACATAGAGAAAAAGGGACACCAGTAGGTAAGATGAAAAGAAACAGAAAAATCAAACTTTACCTACATTTAAATGATGTTGGTAGCCCAACCCTGTTAACCTAGATGAAAGCTGAAAATGGATGGCAAGGATGACTGATTATAGATTTTTAA